TGGCCACAAGAACAAAGCAGACGCGCTCAGCCGGCCTGCACACGTTGCCGCGATTCAGGTCGAAGGGATGAATCCACTACTCAAGGGACTCTTCACACACGGGTACGCCATCGACCCCGAAATACCCTTGGCAGAAAAACGACATCTACTACAGTGGGACAACGACATTGCGTACCGGAAAGGCTCAACGAAAATCTGGGTACCCAATTACCCTCCTTTGCGCCAGTTACTACTCGAAGAATACCACGACGTCCTGTACGCTGGACACTTCGGTAGCAACAAGACGCTCACCGGTATCGCCAAACACTACTACTGGCCCCATATGGCAGACGACGTCCAGAAATTCGTCACCTCGTGTGATACATGTCAGCGGATGAAGAGCAGCAAGCAGAAAAAGGCGGGACTACTGCAGCCTCTTCCTGTCCCAGAACAACCATGGCAAGTGGTTAGCCTAGACTTCATTACCGGGTTACCACCTACCTCCAGCGGTCATGACGCCATCCTTGTCGTCATTGACAAGTTCTCCAAAATGGGACACTTCATCCCGACACACACGACGGCACGCACCGAGGAGACAGCACAGCTCTTCGTTCGTCACATCATCTCACAGCATGGCATCCCAACTACACTCATCTCCGACCGAGACCCCAAGTTCACTAGCAAGTTCTGGAAGGAACTTATGTCTCTGCTCGGCACCAAACTCGCCATGTCATCCGCATACCATCCGCAGACAGACGGACAGACCGAGCGCCTCAACCAAATTGTTGAGCAACTCCTCCGAGCAGCCTGCAAGGACGACATCTCCAAATGGGACTTGCACCTACCCGTCCTGGAGTTTGCCTACAACAACGCTACACACGCCGCTACGGGACAGACGCCGTTCTTCCTCTGCTACGGACGCCACCCACTCACACCACAGAAACCGACAACACCAGCAACAGTCCAACCTGCACACGACTTCATCACAACCATGCATCAGCTTTGGGATCGGACCCATAAGCGCCTCCTTGACATTCAACAGCAACAGAAGCTCCAGGCCGATCGCCATCGCAACGACCACACCATTTCCGTGGGAGACCAGGTTCTCCTTGACACCCGCAACCTGGACATCAGCCATCTCCCATCTAAACTTCGACCTCGCTTCTGCGGGCCTTTTCTCGTTGAAGCACAGGTCACTCCTGTTACCTTCCGCTTACGCCTACCAGCTACCTGGAAGATTCACAACGCCTTCCATGTCCAACTTCTGAAGCCCTATCGAGATCCTAATACGATCTTCGTCGGACGCCAACCGCCGCCGCCGCCACCCGTCCTCGTCCAAAATGAACCCGAGTACGAGGTCGAGTCCGTGCTTGCACACCGCCGTCGTCGGAATGGCACCGTGGAGCTTCTTATTCGTTGGAAGGGCTATGATCCTTCTGAGGACAGCTGGGTCTCTGAGACCGACATGGGTAACGCCCGTCGTCCTCTGCATGACTACCTTGTCAAGCAGGGTGTTACTTCTACCACCCAGCTTTGAGGGGGGGAAGTGTGAGAGTACGACTCCGTTACACCACTTGGCCTTTTCCATATTTCATCTTCATTTCATTCCTCTTTTTATCTCATCTCCTTTTGCCTCATATTCCCCATTTTCCATTATCCTTTGGTTTCTTCCTTTATTATTATTATATCACCGACCAGGCATGGAATGTTCTAGACACGCTATCTAGCGTAATCCTGCCGTAATCTCTTAAAGCCAATAGCCTCGCGTGGCTATACGCAGGGTGATTCTATCTTCTAGAAGGGTCTATTCCCTTAGGATAAGATAAACCTGGTTACCTGATGTACTCTGGAAGTATAAAAGCGCCTTGTACTGATCGATAGGGCAACTTTTCCTCGACACATTCGATCCTGTGACACCTTGTCTGATTCCTTTGACTGGTCTTTAGACCCCTTGTCTCAGAGGCTGGACTAGTAGTGCCGCCCTGAGCTGCTTCTTCCCTTGTTAGGCACTGCCCCTATATAGTCTAGGGGGTGTGTCAAACATAGCTTATGCAGCTACTGTAGACTATATATGTTTGTGCCTTAGTGGGTACAACACTCTAGACTATATTGCCTTGTATCTCACCACTCTAGTTATTCATTCTTTCTGTTAGTTACTATGTCGAAAACCTTATATCTTAAAGCGAGAGGTCAAAATAGTGAAGGCGGGTCCAGCTTGAAAGGGCCCAGACGTCATTTTTTGCGACTAAGGGACAAAACTGCGACGGGGCAGAGGATACACTGTCGAGAAATGCGAGCATGGGAAATTGGGCGAGTAGAGGCAGTTACCTGATTGGTTGATGGGAAACCCATGACGTACGATGGGAAACGTGGCTCAGGAAAAATCGCAAGCAGCGCGCCACTTGTCGCCCAGGCCCCACTGCCTGTAAGCTGCACCAAGTGGGCCCAACTCGAATTTCAAGTTGGACCGAGGTTCACTACTCCGGCAAAAACGAGGCTGGGCCCGAATTGGTCGAAATGCTAAGTGCGCAAATCTGTGATCGTAAAATCTATCGCCAGTGCGAAATGTTGCAAGCGCAATTCGATTACGTGGCATACGGCTTGGTAAAAAACGCGGGCTGCTGCCTGCCCCTCCAAAAACATATTAACTGTTGGGTCGTTTCTAGTTGGTTTCGTCAACAGGACGAAACACATTTCGTTGCGATACTTCTTCGTCAAGGACGAAGTCGAGAAGGGGAGAATGCGATTGGTTTACTCTTCAACCAATGAAATGGTTGCAGATTTTCTCACCAAGAAGCTGACACATCAGAAGTTTCAATACTGCAACGAGCTCTGCGGGATTATCATGAAGTGAAACTATCGGACTTCCAGAAATGAAGGGGAGTGTTGTGATAAAGTTATACTTGTTGTGCTGAGAAAAGCCCTTGGGATCTTTCCAGAGACTAAGTCCCAGCTGTAAAGACTTGAGACTTGGGGTAGTGCAGCGGAAGTTGAGGCAGTTGAACCCTTGTACTAGTATGTGAGAACAAGTGATAATAAAAAGACAAACATACAGCAATATATAGAAGATAAGAAACAGTTGTAGAGTACAGTTGCAGTAGCGGTTTATCGAGTCGTACAGCGACTCGATTGTCGCTTCGGTTACCATCCGTGCTGTTGTAACGGTCTGTCGCAACCTCCAGTTGCGACCCTTTGAGTCCCAAACCCTTCGTGTTCTTTGTCCGCCCCCTCGTGTAACCTCCGTTGACTCGCGTACCCCTTGCAATCTTCCTCGAGTGTAGTGTTACACTTCAGAAACGCTTAAGTCTTTTGATGTACTTTCAACACTCCCCTTCGTTTCTGGAGTGCTGACTTGTTCAGGTCCGATGACGTTTGTTTGTCCGGTCAGCAACATGCAGTAGTCGAATTTTGCTTTTGCCAATTTCTTCGTCAAATAGTCTGCGGCCATTTCTGTTGTCGGGCAGTAACTGAGTTGAAGTCTCCCTTTCGCGATTTCATCTTTGACGAAGAAGTACCGCAGGGCGATGTGTTTGGTTCGGTTGGCGAAGCCGTCCTTGTTTGCGATTTTGATCGCAGAGTGGTTGTCGCAGAAGAGTGAGAAGGCGGGCAGGGTCGTGATCTTCGCTTCCTCGAGTAACTCTCGCAGGTAGAGTCCTTCCTTGGTCGCAGTACAAAGGGCGATGTACTCTGCTTCAGCCGAGGATAGTGCGATTAACTCCTGCTTGCTCGACTGCCAGGAGATAGTTCCGATGGGTTCTAGTCGGTAGATGTAGCCCGTCCTAGATCGTCGATTTTCCCTGTCTCCCGCGTGGTCGGCGTCGACGTATCCGAGTAGTTGTACGGACGGTGTTGTCGCTTTGCTGTAGGTAAGTCCGATCGTTGGCGTGGAGACGAAGTAGAGTAGTGCCCGGTTGAGTTCCTCGAGATCTTCCTGTTCCGGTTGCTTCAGATGCGTCGCTAGTTGACTCGCACTATAGGACAGGTCGGGTCGGCAGGTGACTGCTGCGAATAGTAGGCAACCGAGCTTCTGTTGATACTCCTGGATTTGCTTCGCGGGGAGTTTTGCGGAGGCGCTGTTGTTGTTTCCGTAGCGGTAGGGAGTCGGGACCGTAGTCGGCGTCAGTCCGAATTTCTTCGCGACAGTGCCTGCGTACTTTCCAGCGTGTAGGTAGAACGCCGAGTTGTCTTCGACGACATTTAGTCCCAAGTACTGGGTCACTGAGTCGGACACCATGAGCGTCAGGTCCCCTTTCAGCTCCCCTTCGAACCAGGTGACGATGTCGGTGGTAGAACCGATGTAGAGCAGGTCGTCGACGTAGACTATGAGCAGAATGTAATCTCTTCCCTTCTGCAGTCGGTACATGCCTTGGTCATGTGGTAACTGTAGGAATCCGATTTTTACGAGCCGGCCGTGAAGGTGCTGCTGCCAGAGCCGTGGGGCTTGCTTGATCCCGTAAAGGGATTTTTCCAGCTGGCATACTTTTGAAGGGTCGTCGATGAATCCGTGGGGTTGTTCGACGAAGATTTCGGCGTCCACAGGTGCGTACAAGAAGGCGTTTGCGACGTCGATTTGCCGTAGTGGTAGTTTCTTCGTGGCCGCGACGGCGAGTAGGATGCGCAGGGAGGTGTGACGAAAGACTAGGGCGAAGGTTTCTGTGTAGTCGGTTCCGTATCGTTGGTCGAAGCCTCGTACGACCCATCGCGCTTTAAAACGTTCGATGGAGCCGTCCGCGTTGGTCTTAATGCAGTACACCCATTTCCCCGAGAGAATGTTCCTCCCGTTGGTGTTGGTTGTCGGTACTAACTTCCATGTATTCCGGTCTTGGAGGGCTTTTAACTCTTTTTCCATTGCTTCCTTCCATTCCTCCTTATGTTCCCCCCCCAGAGCCTGCGACAGGGTCGATGGCTCGCTCGGAGAAGGCGGCGGCGGGTGCTGGACGGAGACCCATAGTCCTAGGATCTGCAGTCCCGTGGCTGTGTGTCGAGGGGAATTTTCATTCCCGGGATAAGCTGCTTCATCACCGTCTTCAGGATCGGGTAAGAAGTTTGGCCCGATGCGTTCGGAAATATTCGAGTCGACGGGGTGTGGTGTAGCGTAGCCTTGGTCAGCGAAGTGGTAAAAGGTGTCGAGGTTGTTGCTATCGAGGGGATTATCTTCATCGAGTGGAACAGGTACGGAGCAGTAGGGGAGTGGTCCGGCAGCCTCCGAGGCTCCAGGGACGTCTTCTTCTGCTGCGTCAGCCTCGGCAGCATGGTCAGCGAAGGAGCGAAGGCCCGCGAAGCCGTCGGTGGGGTCGTCTGAGTTGGCAATGTTGTCCAGGTAATGCTGCAGCGTCAGTCGCTCGTAGAAGATAACATCACGTGATGCCACCGTATTTTTGTCTTGTATGTCGAGAATCTTCCACGCGTGAAAATTTTTGGCGATGCCGAGGTGTAGTCCCCACCGAGCTCGTTGAGTGAAGCGTCCTGCTCGAGCTGTGTGGGGTCTGTATTGTACCATGCAGCCGAAAACTCGAAGTAATTTTGTGCTGCCCCTTTTTCCCGTCCACAGCAGGTGTGGTGATGCGTTGTTGGGGAGCGATGACGAGGACAACAGGTTGTGCAGGTGGACTGCATGTGTCATCGCGTCTGGCCACAGTGTGTTGGGCAGTTTCATTCCCAGGAGCAGCTTTCGCATTGTCGTCTGCAAGGTCCGGCTCATGCGTTCTGCGACCCCCTGCTGCTGGTGAGCGTATGGTAGGGACACCAGGCGCCTGATTCCTCTTTCCGCCAGATAGGTCCTGAAGCGTTGTGACTGGTATTCCAGTGCGCCGTCTGACTGGAAACTTTTTAGCTTGGTTCCTGATTCCCGTTCGGCGATGGGGAGCCATGTTGTGAAGGCGTCGAAGGCTTGATCGCGCGTCTTGAGGTTGTAATGCCAAGTGTATCTTGTTGCTGCATCGACGAAGGTGATGACGTAGTTGAAGTCGGCTTCCGTGTCGTCTCGAGGCATGTTCAAGATGTCGCTGTAGACTTTTTCCATCGTTGCATATGCAGGCGCGCTTGGATTATGATGTGATGGGAAGGGTTGATGAGGAAGATCTGCTTCGGGGCACGTGAAGCACCGTGCGCGAGGTCGTCGAAGTTCTTGGCCGTTCGTTGTTAGGAGGGCGTTGCGTTCTAACACTTCGGCTTGGATGGTTTGTAGTATTGTACTATTTGCAGGGTGCCCGAGGCGTTGGTGCCAGATGTCGTCGGGAGCGCGATGGCCGGGTGAGCGGTGGTATATGTCGGCGTTGGAGAAGAATGCGACGACTGTGGCGGGACTTCGACAGACTTCTCGTGTGATGGGCATAAGTTGATCTGCTTCGGTTGGCGGTCCTCGGACTGCCGGTGGTGGTACTCGGCTTGGTCCTGCTGCTGCTACTGCAGGTGATGGTTGGGACTGGACGCTTGTTGGTACTTGCCGTTCTTGTCTGATAACTGCTAATGCTCGTGTTCTTTCTGCTGCAGGTATGGTGTTGGAGTGCCAGAAGCCGTCACTGTCGAAGTCGGGATCAAGATCCGGCGGGTGTGTCCAGGCGGCGAACGATACGATACCGTCGCTGTCGGCAGTACCGCGGTCGGGGACAAAGTCCAACACGAAGACACCGGACTTCAGGAGGGCACGACCTATGAAGAGGCCGCCCTTCCCGTGGTAAAGCCGGAACTCGTTGGAGAAGGAGTCGCACTCCAGGTGAATCCCCTTGGCCATTAGTTGGCTTACGCTTAGTAGGTTGTATCCCAAGTTGTCGACGATGAGTACTTTGTTGAGCTGAAGTATTACGTTTGTCTCCATGGATTGTAACTGAACCACGCCTTGTCTGTTTGTCTTCAGGTTTTCGTTGTTGGCGACGGTGATGACGACGTCGCGGTTGAGCCGTTTCTCCTGTTGCACGAAGCGTCCCGAGGAGCACATGTGTTGACCACAGCAGCTGTCCAGGAACCAGGTGTTTCGTCCGGTTGGTTCGGCGTTGGCGACCGCAGCGTACGTCGGATTGACTTGAAGTCCTTGTGAGCGTGGTGGCGGGAGCTCTTCTTCGTCTGGCGCGTAAGTGGGTGGTGAGCCGGGTGCACAGTTGTCGATGTGTACCATGCAATTGATAATGTTTGGTGTCTGTTGTGCAGATGTTGAAGAGCGCCTTGGGGGACTTGCTTGGGTTGAAGCAACTTGTGGGTCTGCTGGACGGTAAACGCGAGGGCGGTTGCAGTTGACCTTGGAGTGCCCGGAAGTCTGACAGTTGTGGCAGAACGGCGGCACAAAGGTAGTCCCTCTGTTGTCGCGCTCTTGCTTGCTGCGTCGATTGTAGGTGTTGTCGTTTCTTCGTTGAGTGTAGAAGACTAACTGCTGCTGCTTCCTTGGTTGCCTTTCTTCGAACAGGTCCATCTCCTGTTGTTCAGCGTGAAGCTCGGCGCAGAGGTGCATCTCCGAAATTCTTCCGTGGGCGCGAAGAAGTGATCGTGTGGTTCTCCATTCTGGCCCGAGCCCGGCGAGGACAAGTGTCACGAAGCTTTCTTCAGTGATTGTTCCTCCGCACCGAAGCAGGCGGTCGCGGAGAGTCTGGCATCGACTCATATATTGCATTGCCTTTTCCCCGGTCTTCATCTGTATTGTTGTCAGTTGTTGCATGAGTCTGCTTTGCGTCACGCTGTCGTTTGCTTGATAAAGGCACTTGAGATGATGCCATGCGAGTTCCGCGGAGTTCCCATAACTCCGATATGTTCTGATGCTCTGCTGTTCTTGTGGTGACAGGTTCCGCAGGAGGACTGTATACGCCAGCAGCGACTGATACGTGAAGATCTCTTGCTCCTTTCCAGTGCCGTTGCTTGGAAATGGCAGGGACCCGTTGAAGTATCCCAGAAGATGCGCGGCCTCCATCAGCAGCTCGAACTCGAAGCTCCAGGTAAAGAAGTCGTGTCCGTTGAACGGTGAGGATGTTTGTAACTTAATAACGTGTGAGAATTGAGCCTGAAGACTGAGAATCTCGTTTGGTGTTTGTTGTGATGCAGCTGCTGTTGGTTGGGCGCGGGGCGGCATGAACTCGAACGTCCCCGGTGAAGAATGATACGGCGCAAAGGTAGGCGCTTGGTTGTGTCGCCCGAAGGATGAGTTGTCGAGGCTCATCGGCGCTAATCCCATGTTTCCTCCATTGCTCTGTGTTGAATGCGCAGGTGTCCTTGTCTGCTGCTGCTGGTCGAAGTGCGACATGAAGCTGAAGAACCTTTCCATAAGGTTGGGGTCCACGCTTGAAGAGGGAGATGGAGTAACCATCTCTGGTACTCTTCCCGTTGTTTCTTGAGTAGTCCCGGTCTCTGTCTGCAGTCCTGAGGTGTGCAGACCAGAGTTGCCGTGTTGAGTTTCTTGGCCGCTGGGTGAGCCCGTAGAGACTTTCTTGCCCTTGCTGTCCATGTCTTGCAATCAATGAAGTCGTTGAATTGAGTTGAGTTGCAGGTTGGTGATAGAACGTAGTTGCTGGGAGTTTGGTCTCTGACCAGCTCTCATACCATGTTGTGCTGAGAAAAGCCCTTGGGATCTTTCCAGAGACTAAGTCCCAGCTGTAAAGACTTGAGACTTGGGGTAGTGCAGCGGAAGTTGAGGCAGTTGAACCCTTGTACTAGTATGTGAGAACAAGTGATAATAAAAAGACAAACATACAGCAATATATAGAAGATAAGAAACAGTTGTAGAGTACAGTTGCAGTAGCGGTTTATCGAGTCGTACAGCGACTCGATTGTCGCTTCGGTTACCATCCGTGCTGTTGTAACGGTCAGTCGCAACCTCCAGTTGCGACCCTTTGAGTCCCAAACCCTTCGTGTTCTTTGTCCGCCCCCTCGTGTAACCTCCGTTGACTCGCGTACCCCTTGCAATCTTCCTCGAGTGTAGTGTTACACTTCAGAAACGCTTAAGTCTTTTGATGTACTTTCAACAATACTTAAGCATTTGTGTTAGTTCCGATAGATATTGTCGAGCTACACTGTAGATAGCATCCGTAGAATGACGTCAGCAAATAGCGCTCGTCTGGATGATTACGTCAGCAGCCGTTTCAGTCACGCGAACAGTCGCGCTCTATTCAGTAGCAGTCAGAGCGCATAGCGCAGATAGGTCGAACAGATACATCATCGAATAGGTACTTCTAGTAGTTATAAAAGTAGCTTGTACAACTTCAATTGTTAACTTGTTGAGTAAATTCTGGTCAACACCTAACAAGTTCTAAGACTTCCGCTGCCTTACTAGTCTACCATTCCAGCAAAAGTTCATTGGTTAAGTCTTGAAGTATCACAGGGCTGTTACACCAACTCTGGTGTTACAACTTGTTAATACTGGCTGTTACTGGTACTGGAGGTAATTCCAGTATTACTTTCTACTTCAAGTACTTGTGTCTGCAGATTCTATACTTAGTCTCCTGCACACCTTTTCAATTCTTTCAGGTTGGACCCACCATCCATGCTGTGACATGATATCCCACTTAAAAAGAAGCAACCTTGAGCTGCATGAAGATTCTGCTGAACAACCTGAAACAGCGACTGCCATAAATGCGCATCGCGCTGCCACGGCACAGCATCCATCAAGAGTCGTCATGATCCCCATCCTCCTCATGTTCCTCCAACTCAAGCCCTTCCCCATCCTCGTGCTCGTCATCATGCTCCTCGCCATTCTCAAAGTGCATGTCGTGCATGTGGTGCGCGCCAAAGCGCGAGGGGTCGCGGGGCAGGTGGAAGGGGCGGTAGTTGGGCGGCATGGAGAAGCCGGAGAAGGACACCTTGCCCATGGACAGCCCGCCCACTATGGGCATCACGTTCCAATAGACCGTCAGGTTGAACGGCAGGCCTCGCAAGCTGTTGCCCTGTGAACGTGGAATGGATGCAAGAGGGCAAGGAACTTACCATAAGAACCAGCAACAGAGAAGGAGCATGGAAAACAACATAGAAACTGGAAAGGACCATCCCACAGTGTGGAGGGGAGTTGAGGGTGGAACACGGGAAGAGCATGGGGGGGGAGGCAAGGGGGGGGGTCCACAGAAACGGGTTGGTCGTTGTGACCAGGTCCATGAGGGCTGGCTGCTGACCTGGACCATGAGGGCTGGTTGCTGATCTGGTCCATGAGGGCTGGTTGCTGACCTGGACCATGAGGTCTGGTTGCTGACCTGGTCCATGAGGTCTGGTTGCTGACCTCGTCAATGAGGTCTGGTTGCTGACCTGGTCCATGAGGTCTGGTTGCTGACCTGGTCCATGAGGTCTGGTTGCTGACCTGGACCATGAGGGCTGGTTGCTGACCTGGTCCATGAGGGCTGGTTGCTGACCTGGACCATGAGGTCTGGTTGCTGACCTGGTCCATGAGGTCTGGTTGCTGACCTCGTCAATGAGGTCTGGTTGCTGACCTGGTCCATGAGGTCTGGTTGCTGACCTGGACCACGAGGGCTGGTTGCTGACCTGGACCATGAGGTCTGGTTGCTGACCTGGACCATGAGGTCTGGTTGCTGACCTGGTCCATGAGGTCTGGTTGCTGACCTGGTCCATGAGGTCTGGTTGCTGACCCGGTCCATGAGGGCTGGTTGCTGACCTGGTCCATGAGCGAGTACTCGCTGATCTCCCGGGTGAACTGGAGCGCAGCATCCTCCTTGCGCTCGATGATGGCGTCCCACAGCGACACCTGCGCGTGAAAGGAGTGGCGGGCGCTGAATGAACCGTGGGAATTGCATAAATCCGAGGCCATGATGGACTCAAGAATAACGAAGTTTGGCCAAGCAGAAGAGCTTTACACGGATGGAGAATGGAGACGTTGAGATGCACGGCGTACCTGGTTCAGTGGATGCTTTGGGGTCGAAAAGTCTGCCGTGACGAATACAAACAGCTGGGGAAGTGCACAGCACAGGGTGGCCAGGGTTTATTGAGAGGGTTGCATTATGCGCACATGAACAACCAACATCCAGAACCACAGTAACCATAGGGTCAGGTCAGGAGCAGCAGCACGCGACCTACCTCACGTCGGAAGCTACTAGTGTATGCTTTCCGACACTACAGACTGCAAGGGTGCTATCAGCCATCCAGCGAAGACAAGAGGAAGCGGACCGGATTCCAACCGCCCGCATTCTCCATGCAAGCATAGAGAAGCCATTATGATGACGGAAGGGGCAACATTTTCCGGGCAATCGGAACAGCACATGCTAGCATAGACCACGTGGCTACGTTCGCCCGCCCTCTGGCGAGCCAAGACCACTCTGCCCTGCCGACTCAAGCTCGCCCTAAGCTGACAGCCCAACCGCATGATCGCACGCAGCAGCAAGCACTGTGGCTTCCCAACAGCAGTGAATGGGCACCATGAGGGAGAGCAGGGTGTGTGTGGGGAGGGGGGAACATGGTGCGTGTTGGGGGACATGGTGCGTGTTGGGGGACATGGTGCGTGTTGGGGGACATGGTGCGTGTTGGGGGACATGGTGCGTGTTGGGGGACATGGTGCGTGTTGGGGGACATGGTGCGTGTTGGGGGACATGGTGCGTGTTGGGGGACATGGTGCGTGTTGGGGGACATGGTGCGTGTTGGGGGACATGGTGCGTGTTGGGGGACATGGTGCGTGTTGGGGGACATGGTGCGTGTTGGGGGACATGGTGCGTGTTGGGGGACATGGTGCGTGTTGGGGGACATGGTGCGTGTTGGGGGACATGGTGCGTGTTGGGGGACATGGTGCGTGTTGGGGGACATGGTGCGTGTTGGGGGACATGGTGCGTGTTGGGGGACATGGTGCGTGTTGGGGGACATGGTGCGTGTTGGGGGACATGGTGCGTGTTGGGGGACATGGTGTGTGCTGGGGGAACATGGCGTGTGCTGGGGGAACATGGCGTGTGCTGGGGAATATGGTGTGTGTTGGGGGAACATGGTGAGGCGCGAAATCGAGCGGGAGGGGCAGTGAGAGGAGGGCACCTGCTTGGTGTTCCAAGTGAAGACGGACGTGAGGTTGGCCGTGATGTTCAGCGCCAGCACGGCCTGCCGGGGGACGACGGGAGGAAGGAAGGGGGCGGGAGGGAGGATGAGGGGGGGGGGGGGGGGGGGGGAAGGGAATGGTCGGGGCAAGGGTTGGCCGAATTTCTAGGTTGAAGGTGTGCAGCCAACAAACGTCAGCATTGTACAAGATGACGTGCAGGAAACAAGCACGAAATCACCGAAATTGGATAAATTATAGAAAGATCAATCGGTGAGACGAAGATCGCGCGCGGGGGAGAACGCGGTCATCCGTGAAGCCGTCCCGCTCGGAAGCTATCAACGGCCGGATCGTCAAAGCTCACCTCATCGTTTCCCTGAAACGGACCACCCGGTATTCTCCAGAAATGCTCCACATCTAAAAGCTGCACGGAGCTCCGCGGCACAGAACGATACCCACATCGACGGGTTAGCTCAATACGCGGACTATTATTATACGAAATTGCGACAATGATCGATTTCAAAACCAGCCCACCGAGAACGCGACGTTTTGAAGGTTAAGAGCCAAATATCATCGGACGTTTCTAGCGCGCCGTTCTGCTTTGTGCCTCACAGGAGAGCCCACTATCATCGGTCGACACTATCGATAAGTCGCCCAGAGCACACACGTCAACGCGATCCAAATTACGGTAAAGACTTCGCTTAGCGTGGTATTGAAAAAAATGGCTTCGCGACGGATTACGCCACAAATGGGACGACACTAAGCAGCGAAATTTCCCAGAAATATGTCAGCAAGCTTCGCTACGCGGCAGGCAGCAGCTCACGTCGAGGTCGACAGTCGGGGCGGAGGTGTGGAGGCGTTCGGAGAGCGAGGCGAGCACGCTGAGCGCGATGAGCAGAAAGACGGAGAGCGTGATCACCGCGTTGCCGCGGTACAGCCACGTGTGCATCGCGGCGAGAGCTTCTTAGGATGCCCTAGGAGGCATTGCAGGCTGGTGAGATCAGAACACGGGAGGGAGATCAGGAGGGTCATCAGACGAACTTGTTGAATCTATGACAGCAGGACGGGTCTGCCCAAAGCGCGCCAAGCCAAAGCCCCAAGCTAAAACACGAGGGGGAACGTGTAGCGAAGGTAGCAAGGCGAAAACAAACGTGGGCCTCAGGGGACGGGCGAAGTAAAAGAGGGGGTCGAAACGCTGAAACGAGGAGCTCGCAAACGTCACAGATATGAAGGTTGCAGAGCAGCGCGGAATGAAGTATCTAAGTTGCTAATAACTTCATGACGATATAATGTGCAAGGAATTTCCATTTCTTACTGAGTCGTACGCTAGCGCTTACACCCGAACTCCTCGACTCGTCGCGTTCGGCCTCATTTTTCGGCCCAACCCTTCCCGAGTCGCGGCGGGCACTGTCGCCACACTGCCGAATCTACCAACGTCCCGAGGTTGTCGCCCTAGCACACCAATGTCAACAAATACAATTATCTAGGCTAGCTAGTTTATATTTGTTATAGCCTTAGATAGGTCAGTAGGATACAGTCCTACCTTGGTAACCCTCGCTGTTTTCCCTTAGTCCACCATTCTCGACAATCTAACATGACATCTAGAGCTAGGTCTCTCCCTCTACTCATGCTTCCGCCCTAGCACACCCTAGCCTAGCGTGCCTCGGCCCTAATTGCGCGCCTCGTAGCTCGTCCCTTCCCCGCCCTCTCCTCTTCGTCGTGTAGCTCACGCCAGCCGCCGCTAGCCCGCGCCCGCCAGAGCGTTAGTTCGTAGCCGTTCCACCTCCCGCCACCCGTTCGTAGCCTGCGCCAGCTCGCGCCAGCCCGCCGCTTGCTCGCCTGCTCGCCAGCACGCCAGCCCGCCTGCTCGCCAGCTCGCACGCTCGACAGCTTGCACGCTCGTCCGCTCGCCCGCCCGCCTACTCGCTTGCTCGCCTGCCCACCAGCCCGCCTGTTCCCCAGCCCGCCAACCCACCTGCTCGCCAGCTCGCACGCTCCCCTCCTCGCCTAGCTGCGGTACTTCCTGCTGCTTGAGTTGCAGTAGCACGGTCAGGTTCGTGTAGTACAGTTGGCCTCAGAGGCCAACACTGCTGATACCTTCACCAAGGCACTTACGCCTCCGTGACCATCAGCGGTTCTGTACTCAGCTTGGTCTAGCCCCAGTAACAGCACCACTTCTTGTATCCCGAGTCATACTATACCTGCTTGTACTTGTTGTTCTATACCTTGCTGTTTTGCTACGCTTGTTGACTGGCCTTGTGGCCTTGCCTCAGTGGTCACACTAGTAGTGGTGCCTTGAGTTTTCTTATTACACTCAACAGAGGTCAGACTAGTTGTGCTGCCCCGGTGTACTTTTCTTTGTTATGAACCGGCACTCTCTCGGCTAGGGGGTGTGTCAACAAATATAATTATCTAGGCTAGCTAGTTTATATTTGTTATAGCCTTAGCTAGGTCAGTTCCTAAAGGGTACAGTCTTACCTTCGTAACCCTCGCTGTTTTCCCTTAGTCCACCATTCTCTCAACTATCTAACAGCCAACCCCTATATAATCTTGTGCCTTCATTGCAATAGCTTTCTTGTATTCTCACGTTATTTTTCATTGCCACATCCTATATCATAGCATAATGAGTGGTGAGTATTTGAGTTGTATTTTCCGAACGCGTGGGATTGGGTACGAAACATTGTGAACGTTGAGTTGCCGTACAGCGTTCGCCTGTCCTGTCGCCTGCTCATTTTTGTAGCCGTGGCCAAGATGTGGTCCAACCCACTTTCGACAACCGACATTCCTGTCTTACAAATCGCATTGACCAGCTTTGATGTGGTCGAACTTCTGAACGTGATATTAGAAGCATGTGTACGCATGTGGCAGAAACACGCTACGAACTATCAAGAGCACAATTTCGCGGAATGTGGGCAAACGCCCTCGGCAAAAGCTGCGTGATCTTTTGGTATATATTGCATTCTTGTACACTCTTAGGGGCCAAAATGACGAAGTGCTCTTCAAAGAGGGAGTGGCTAATAATCAAATACGTCATATAAGCCCCATCACCTGAATGAAAGACCCTGGGTCCTATCCCCCAAGGGGGGGCACTTATCGTACCACTACCGGATATAAGTGCAGCCATTTATTAAGCCCATTGGGCTAATACATTGCAAACGCAGTTTTGTGCTTTATTTTATTATAAGCGCACATTATTTTTTCTTATAGGCTAATTATATTGTTTAAAAAGCGAGTGCAATGCTGATTTTTTGTATCCAAAACTCGTGCTACCCCACAGCCCCCCTGAGCACCTCGCGAGACAGCACCACCATTTCTTTTTCTGTAGATTTGGCTTTGGTTGGCTCCGATTGGCTGGGTTTCAGCAAGGGTTGTCCATGTTCTTGTGTGTGGAGGAAACTTTGAGAGCCGATTCCACGCAATCTACCAACACGACCTCCAATGGGGTTGTGCCATTCGAACGAAAATTCACAGGGCTATATTTTAATTCATTCAAATGAAATTTTATTAACATACTTTGTATACGCGCATAACTAGGTTACTAAGTTCGCGACTACAATGACGGAAACAATTGGGCTTGAAAAATGACACAAATCTAAACATTGTGTTTTTAAGCATGTTTTGTATGCATTATGTCCCACAGACCCCTTGTATAATGTGCAGTAGGACTTGGGCATCCTTGTACTCTAGTGTATTGTATCTATTATCAAATTTCTCATAATGAGTACACTACCTTGCTAATGCCACTCGATGAGGACAATTACCCCCCCCCCCCGTCGAGTCTATATCTATTCTCTCTCGGCATTTCGCGATCTCGAAAACCTAGCCGCCTAGTCTTTTTTTTTAAGCATAGCGTGGACCCCGCTAGGCTCATAGCAACGATGCGTCCTCTTCCTTCAAGCCAGAAATATAGGATCACGACCCTGCTATGACAGGGTCATAGTTTTCGTCAGATTGCCAGAGCGCTAGGGATAGGGAAGAGCATAGTTCAGAAATACGCTCAAGAGGCCTCTCAACGCACCAGCAGCCTAGCGGTCAGACCGTCAATCCCGAGGTCTGGCCGACTGTGCATGCTTTCAGAACGTGATAGGCGATACTCGTGAGAGCTGTGAAGACTAGCGTAGAAGCTGCTAAGCTACTGGAAAAAGTCCGCGGCATTAAGATCTGCCATAGAATTGTCTGCAATGCCCTCAAACAATGTGGCCTAGTCGTCGTCCCGCAACCGAAGAAGCCGCGCCTCTCAGCCCGTAACATCCAAGACCGACTTGATTTTGCCAAGGCCCACCTTGACTGGACCATGGACGACTGGAAACGGGGTGGTCTGGTCCGATGAGACCAAGATCAACCGTTTCTGCAGTGACGGCCGTACGCATGCATGGATTCGCGAAGGGGCCACTCTCCATGGGAATCACATCAAGCAAACTGTAAAGCATGGGGGTGGGTCAGTCATGGTGTGGGGGTGTATGACGTACGATGGCCCTGGATACATGTGTAACCGTATGGACGGGCAGCTGTATCGAACAATCTTGCAGGACGAGCTTGCCCAAACCTTTGAGTTCTATGACCTCACCCCCTCTGATGTCATTTTCCAGCATGACAATGACCCCAAGCACAAGAGCCACCTTGTGCAGGAGTTGTTGTCAGAGCACGATTATGCTGATGTGTGCAGGGGGCTTATTGACAGTATGCCTAGGACGGTGAAGGCGGTGTTTAGGGCCAAGGGTAAATGGACTAGCGACTGATTTTGGGGTGTTTCTTGCATGCACTGAAACTGGCACAAAATGTCCGAGTATACTTGTGTGTATGTATATGATTTTTTTCACAACCACATTATAATGACTTCTCAGGGCTGGTTCCTATGAGACATTCTTGTACAAGCATATGTCTACCAGTGCCTTAAATCTTGGCATTCAATAAGCTACAATTCTAAACACCACAAACGATTATTCGCCGACAGAGGCAAACATATGGACAGTTTCTTCCGCCACTGTAGGTTCATGTAATGAAGCACAAAGAGCGTGTGTCGAATAATTGAGTAGCGAAGAAACAATACAATGAGGCAACATCAAAACAACATGGAGCATGGATATAGTTAGGCCTAGAGCACATGGACGAGGCTCGGCAGAGCTAAGACGTGTGGTTTGTAAATTGGCGCGAGGCGCCCAGATCTAGGCATGAAACAACAAAGCGCGCAAAATGCACGCGGCTCGTCAAGAGACCACATTTGGGTGTCGCGGTTTGAATTTCGTGGCAGAGCTGCGCGGCAACCCCGTTATAGCAGTGTACGCCTTTGACTAAAACCCATCATAAGAAAACACGACTTTCTTACACCCTCCCCCCTCCAAGTTATGGCCTTAGCTAAGACCACCGACGTCGTGCATATTGCGTGACTGAAGGTAGACTCCTAATACCGGGTAATTCTCTATATGTGCCTAGGGCACCCAACTATTTTCCAGGGCCATCCGGTCCTTCCAGGACATCAGAAACTCAATCAGGCGAGCCCATTGAGGGTCCTTGATCCGATGGCTGAGAATCTTCGCAGGTTCGACTGTAGGTTAGGCGAGCGGTCGGATGTTCGGGTTGGCCCGATGGCGTGGCAGTTTACTGGTGCTGGCTATGTATGGTCGTAACCGGTAACAGTAGATGGGTTGTAACGGGGGATACCATGTGGCTGATTGTAAATGGTCCGCGGTAACGAGGGCGAACTTTTGGGACGATGGGCAGTCGAAGGTTCGGAGTGTCGAGCATTACTAAGTCTCCAGCTTGGTAAGTCACTGCTCGTCGGTGTAGATCGGCATTGCGCTTAGAAATAACATTCACGCGCTTAATGGCTTTGGCTGTTCGCTCCCGTGCATTCCGTAATATTTCGGCGAACTGTTGGGCTTGGGGTACGGGATTTCCGATGTTGGGCATGATAATAGGTTGTAGGGTTTGTAGGGTTTTGTCCGTAATTCATATAGAATGGTCCTGACAGGACGTTATTATACGCGAACTCAATCAGTGGCAGTTGTTGCTCCTAGTCGGCCACGTCATCGCGGGTGGCGAGAATCAGCTGCTCC